TTATGAATAGCTATCATGTTGCAAGCTCTGCTTTGTATGCAAATCAACTTAAATAGTTGGTGTCCAGTGGAGGGAGAAGTCAACAGTACTGTTGCCTCCTGAGAATCTACATCTTCAAACACTGCAATCTCTGAAGTGCGTTTTTAAACTAGTACATGTATTATAAAAACTCTATCATTCTGTTCTAATAGCTGAAACATATTCCTGTGAGTTTTCATTTGTCAAATGAACTGTTTGTCAAATACAGAATACATACATTTTAGAATAATTTTCTTTTTAAAATGTGGATGAAATGTTTTGCTTTTAATGTATTTTTTATGTATTGTTTTTGATTTGATAACTTTTGACTAAACAGATTTTCTATTAGCTTCAGATCTTGATCAAAGTTTGGCACCCAGTTCATAGCAGTGCTTATATTGATTTTCTGACATCTTGTTTTCTGTAAAGATTTTATTGGTAGGTTTGCAAATGTGTATCAGACTGTGCAATCTCTCCATGAGTTGGTTTTGAAACCCAGTATGGGATTCTGAGATACATTACCAAGGATAATATTACACGATAAATCATTTGCTTCATTGAACACATACAACAATGCATATTTCCACTGAGATCACACCTTTGATGTGTATCACCAGTGATCAGTCAAGTAGAAACAGTCAAAATATTTTATCAGATTTTCTCAATTTTTGCATGATATTTTCATACAGGACATCTGTTCAAACTCAGGGAAGACTTTATACTGATGAATAAGGTGACCAAGTTTGATAAAGTTTGGAATAGAATTAGTAAAGTTATTATGCACACAATAACAATTATTAACGATGACAACGACGACAACGTCGGACATAATTTTTCCCTTAATATACCTTTCCCTTCCATCTTTGATGGTACGGGCAAGGTAAAAAGGCATTTTAAATTTTTACAGGAAATAAAATTCCATTTACAGTAAAAAATAGGTTTTTACATTAAAGGATAAACCAAATTCCTAATTACATTTTTATATTGTTTGATAATTTGTGCTTGAGAATCAAAATTGGAAATTGTATTTTGATTACCATCAGGCACTTAGCACTAACTAATCATTCATGCACACCTTGCTTGTCCTTGCTAAGGGTCTGGATAGGGTCATAAACTGGTCAGATTTAGTCATTTCTTAGCACCCTACTAAACTTTCGCTAGTGTTTTCTTAACCTGTGCTAGGGGGCTGTGTGTGAACACAACTAATACCATGACTTTTATCATTACAAGATAATTAAACACACAAAATTTTAATTCAATTTTAATTTATACCAGTATTTTTTTTATTTGTTATATATAAATATAAAAGATGGTGAAAATTAACAGAAAACCAACAAAATAATGAACATTACAACAAAAAAGTAAAGAAGTGATTGCGAATACAATAAACATGATTCTGTTGAACAATAGCGAGTGCCTATTAATGACCAAATGAAAGATAACAGATATCAAAACTGAAAGATACACAAACTGAAGATAACATACTTTCAATTACATAAGAATGATCAGACAAAAAATTAACAATCACTCAATATTTGGTGATTGACCAAAACAAGTTGGCTGGGCAGGGTATGTGTATAGAAACTGCTGTGAAATGCATGTAAATGGGATCAAGTTTTGGTATTCTTTGAACAAAATTTTCTGTAATTAATGTTTTAACGAAAGTCAGACTGTACTCACATTTTCAACAACTTTGTTCAAGACCTGTAGGCCATTCGGTTAAAAATAAACAAAAGAATTACTGGGAAGCATTATTGGATTCAAACTGTCTTCTGTTCACTCAAGAAGAAGGTGAAATAACAGAGATACGATAGAAATGGTAATGACAGCGCAAGACAAATATGAAAAGAAAGAGCCTGGCTTATAAAGTACTGTAAAAGGATTAATTATTCACTGGGTTTTAATTTTGCTTATTTCGCTGACTGGAAAATGAGGTAAATTAAAACCCAGTGAATATGTAAAATTGAACACAGAACAAGTTATCTGAATGATAAAACCGTCAATTTAAAAGCAATTGAATATGCATGAAATGGTAAATCAGTGAAATTTAAACCCAGTGAAAATTAGTCATTTTACAGTACCAGTATTGCTTATTAAATTCATCACAATATTCAATCATGAAACTGGGGAGACATTAGGAGGACAAAATTATATTCACATAAAAAGTACCTAACCATAAAAACAAGTGGAAATGCACAAATGCCCTGAGATGGCAGTACAATCTAGGAAGCCCTTTTTTGTAGAAAAAAATCATTAATAAACATAGAATTCTTGTATGCATAGAAATGGCAACCGTTCACCTTAAAAAAATTGTAAACCTATCACCATGGCAACCAAGCCATTTGTAAATAAATACAATACTATACTAACTTCATAATGGTCTGTTACAATAACTGATAAATATGGTCCCATAGTTATAAGAATTATTTACTATATACGCAAGGATACAGACCAGATCAACAAATGTTATTTTAAAATACGATAAAAGTAATCCATTTATCTTCTACATCAACCTGTCGCTACAAAAAACTAGAAAAACTCCCTGCCCAAAAGTCACAAAATTATAAAAAACACTTTACAATATTAGGACAGAATATTATCTACTGTAAACCACTTTTTTTTTATTCATTGCTAAGAATTTTCACAATTTTACGACATTCATTAAGACAAAATTTGTCTCTTAAATTAAAGTGGTTTACAGTATTTTGGACTACATTATTATCAACTAGTAATAATGCTGAAATTAATTTTATCTTCTCCAAAATAGGATATGATATTTTTAATATTACTTGGAACTGTAGCAGAGATCCACTGTAATCATATTTTTAGCAATGTCATTATAGATATTTCAGTATTTTTGACTCTGACAGAATTTGAGAAATTATTCTGTTAAAAAACTGAATGTTGCTTAGTAAATTTAAACGTTCCAATAAGGAAAGTACATGTACCAAGTAAAAGACTGATTGACACTTTAGAGGGCACTGTGTAAAAGTTTTGTGAATGAAGATTGCTTGTATATAAACTGTCAGATTTAGAAAAATGGTAGATCAACACGAAAAGATTATTCTTCAGTGCCTAACTTTCTTCCTTTTTTACAGAATGGATCAATTAAATGTTATGTGTCAAGAGTTTCTACATTTATACATTTATCAAAGTATTATAAAGAAAGCAACAATTTCAATATAAAGGTTGGAAAAATGTCATTATTGTATTTGCAATAATACTGCATATGAGAATATATAAGGCACGAATGACAGTTTTCAGTTGGTGAACTTCCAAGAGTCTATTGGAGAAGTATTTCTAACAAATAATACTGCTACAATTTACATGAAACCAATGAAATATAGACATTAAATATGCATAATCATTACTGGGTGCATATCCCTGGCAGCGATATCTAAACCCTGCTTACATCCATATGTACACTGGATAATAAAAAAAAAATGGCAACAGTTACTTTACATTTATTTACTGGCAGTTTTTAACCAGAGAATTTATGAATTGCACTGACAGTATATATGCCTTGTTATTTACATATAAAATGTGGAAAACTTGTAAACTGTTCTTGAAGGCACACTCAGATGGCTGAATTGTCCATCAATGGTGGAATGTAAACAAATTTAATTTGGGTACACATAGGATGGATGGCCTTCCCGAGCTAAGTGTTGACTGGCAAATTGCGCATGGCGAGCAGTAAGTTGATGTGAAGCAACGAGGTGCTGATGCATGATTTCTTCATAAGCCTGTGCATGCTGGGTCATCCCGTAGATGTGTGAATGGGGTAACATTCCTGATGGAGACTGCAGTAGGTGTGTGGGATACCCAATGGAATACAGCTGTGGATAATCCAACAGTCCAATGTGCGCTTTGTTCATACTGTGAATGTTTGGAGTGTATTCGGGAATCATCATGTTGGGAATTCGTGTTGGCAGTTTGGGGTCATATTCTGGTATGGATACATGATGTGCTTGGCTGGCACTGATGCTTCTGGAAGCCACTACTCTATTCTCTCGGATTTCGGAGCTTGGCGAAATAACACCCTGGGTTATCGACCCCCTAGCCTCAGCTGGTCTATGACTAACAGACCCTCTAGCTTCAGCTGATTTAGAAGTAGTAGAAGCTAAATTTTCACTTGCTTTCAAGGTCACAGACAATCCTCTAACATCAACTGCCGTTGGTGTAACAGAAACTCGAGCTTCGGCTGAATTTCGAGAAATTACTTTTGCATCAGTATGTTTCTGTGAAGTAGACTGCCTGACCTCTGGTATTTTGTGTGTATAAGCGTCCCTAGCTTCAGTTGTTTTAGTATCAGTGTAAGAAACTACTGTACTTTTTTTACTATTTGTTTGTACAACTGAACTTGATTCATTTTTAACCATACTAAAGTCTTTCGGTTCAATAGAGAGTTCATCATCTAACCGATCCCTGCACGTTTTTATACTTTCCACTTTTTCGTTCATATCCACTGATTTGCGGCATTTCTTTGGCAGACTCAGATCTGTTGGTTGTTCCTCATCATTCACCTTTGCATATGTCATTTGCAGAGCACCACCATGTGCAACACCTGGTGAGCTTTCAGTTTGCGATCACCGCTGAAATTTTGAAAAGATTTTGTGTAATATTTTGAACTGTCCTTTGCATCTTGTGGGTATTTGGTCCTTTTTGTGTGATCATAGTAAGGATCTTCAATACGGCTTAACTCAAGTTTAGGTATACCTTGTGAATTCGGTGAAATATATGCATAGTAAGGAAAATGTGTTGGAGTTACAAGATTTTCGTAGCTTCTTTTACGTCCATTTGAATCACTGTTCGTGGATGGCTGTGGACGAATCATGGAATCGTAGAAAGCCCGATTGATTGCCATTTGGTCCTGTGATATGTGACGAAGGATGAGATCACTCGGCTGTACGGCATGTATTTCATTTGTAGCATCTTGTACACTGTCTTCAGCACTTGACTCAGTCTTAATGATCTGTGAATCTTGTGAATGCTGTGTATGCTGAATCACAGAAGCCCTCATTCTGATTGCTTCTTCTTTACCAGCAGCTGTTACAGGCTGCGATATGGTGTGTTGTACTTTGCATGGTGCAACAGGTCGTAGTTGTGTGGGCGTGCCTGACCTTGATTTTGGCGTAACAGACCGAGGTGTTGATGGCCTTGAAGTTGCCACTAACGAAGTATTTTTGATTGGTGTTGCAATATTTGTTACTACAGGCGGGCTTGACAGCGTCTTTTTCCTTACTAAGGGAGACAGGATACTCGGTGATACTCTGGCAGGAGTTAAATGAGATGGAATGGGTGATGGGATACCTCTCAGCTCCAAGGCAGGTCTGATAAGTGTTTCTGCTCGTGGAGGGATGTTGGCTGTCGACACAGTAGAATGGCATTTGGATGACATTTTAACAGCAGGAATTGCATCAATACTCAATGTTTTGTTGACACGAACAGAAATCACATTTTGTGTATTCACACTTAAACTTTTGGTGGAGACTGGATGACTCTCTTTTTTCACAAGTATTGTTGGCTCAACTTTCACTTTGACTTCATTCGATGACACTCCTTTAGTGAAAGTCACTTGAGGTTTGACACCAACGTTTTCCACTTTCTGTACAAGCAGAACAGGTACGGACTGAGTAACTGCAGGAGTTGTTGTGTTTTCCTTGTTCTGTTTTGGTACTTCAGACTTTACTCTGGGAGACTGTAAAATGAATATGAAAAAAAAAAATATTTAGGAGATGGGCAGTTTTATTTATGGCTAGAAGAAAGGAAATTAAGCACAATCTTTGGGGGCGGAGTTACGTCACAGAACGTTCTACGTTGCTAAGACGCGCGCCACTGTACCATGTATTTTTATGGGCTTGGGCTCTGCATGAGCTGTTTTGGAACGCTGGTCGAAGAGCCGGTGAAACAGCTAAAGTCAAGGAAATAGCACAAACTCAACTTTGAAGTAATTCCAAGCAACAAAATTTATACCATATGTTGTACATAAAATAAAGTTTTTGAGAGTTTTTGGACTTTGCTTTCACAGTACTGGTTGCCTGGATGTGCCTGTCACAAAATTAAAGCAGTGATGTTCAATCGGGAGCAGAAGTTGAGTAGATTGTATGAGGAAACCATGGCAACAGGACGACCTACCACTTTATAATCTTGTGCAGCATTCATAATTTTTTCCTCCACTGTCTGTTCATATTGTTTTAGTTGAAGAAGGCGTTCTTGTTTAACTTGTTGTTTAACAGTCAATTCTTCAGCTTTTTTTATAAGATGTGGCTTTCTGTGTTTAACAGGGGATGGTAAAGGTCTATCATCCTCTCCTTTCAAGAATCTTTCATATGGCAGTATCAACCTGAAAACAAACATGATATATATATATATATATA